GTTGCTTTAGCTTGAAGGTTAACTTCAGTTGGGGCAGTTTGGTGAGAGGTACACTTTTAACTTTTAAGACACAACCATTTCTATTTTTATTTTATTTTTCAATTTGGATCTAGGAGGTGTAATTTGTTTGTTGGGTAGTGGTCATATGTTTATATTTTTATTTTTTTGTTACTTTATTTATGTTGATGATCTGGAATTGGGTGGCCAATAACTCAAGAATAGACAAATCAACAACTGAAGAGATTTCTGAAAAATGAAAAATCTAACTCAATGGATTAAGACATAGAAGTCAAGAAAAGAATGGCAAAAGTGGACAAAACTTTAGGTGTAAGTTATTAGTTGAAGTTTTACCATAACAACACTTCAATGCCAGATAAATTAAAGTCAGTTATATGAATTCTTAGAGATTATATTTCTATATTCAAATTCATTTCAGGTCAACATTATATAAAATAAAAATAAAAAGTATAGAATATACAAAATAAGGTTAAAAGACTCTAAAAACATAGGATACAAAGTAAATATAGCAAGATAACTAAAACATATTTCTAACTAATCGGTATCTTCTATATAAATATTTTATCTTTCATTGTGTTTTTTGTCTTGTTTTTATTAAGTCTTTATGTATTTCAAGGAAATGTAGGTATTACAAGATAACTTCTTTCACGTGATCTTAGGTTTACCTTGTCCCTTTTTTAACAACTTCATACATGACCAAATGATCTCAATCTTCATTCTCTTTTTGTCCCTAATACGTGCTACTTGCACCCTTTTACTTATTGGACAACGTTTACTTTCGTATAATATTACTGATCTTACAATTGTTTTATTTGTTGAAATTATGGGCCTCGAAAATTAACACGTGAACCCAAAATTAGGATGAAAATTGGGCAAAGTGTTAAAGGATATGGGAGAAAAGGTGTGTCACCAAGATGTATGGTTAAAATTGATATGCAAAAGGCGTATGATTCTGTAGAATGGTGTTTCCTTGAACAAGTACTTACAGAAATGAATATCCCAGGGAAATTTCTTTCTTGGATTATGATGTGTTACTACAGTGTCTTATGCTATTGTGTTAATGGAAAGCCAACAACTCCTTTTGATGCAAAGAGAGGAGTTAGACAAGGTGATCCATTATCACCATATTTGTTTGTTCTAGCTATGGAGTATCTTACAAGGATCTTGAAGACTCTTAAAGAGAAGCCTGACTTTAACTACCATCCTAGGTGTGAGAAGCTGAATATTATCCAACTCAGTTTTGCAGATGACTTGTTGCTGTTTTGCAGGGGAGATGTGGTGTCTATACAGCTATTGTATGAATGTTTTCAACAGTTTTCAAAGGCTTCAGGTCTGATTGCTAATCAGGAAAAAAGCCGTATCTATTTTGGAGGGGTCACTGAAGATATTCAACAAAACATTATCCAATGCTTAGGTTTTTCTAAAGGCTCTTTGCCTTTCAGATACTTGGTATCCCATTGAGTAGTAAAAGGTTATCTATTACTCAATGTCAACCTTTACTGGATAAGATGTTAGGCAGTATCAAAAACTGGACAGTAAAGTTTCTGTCTTATGCAGGCAAGTTGCAGCTGATGAAGAGTGTTTTATTTGATATTCAATCATTTTGGTCACAGATATTTCCTTTACCTAAGAAGATCCTACAAGGAATTGAGATAATTTGCAAGAGATTTCTGTGGACAGGTGAAACAGAAACCAAAGCTAAAGCTTTAGTAGCTTGGAGACAATTATGTTGGCCAAAATCTGCAGGGGGTCTGAATATCACAAATATAAATATATGGAATAGAGCTGCACTAATCAAGCAACTGTGGAATCTAAACAAAAAGAAGGATAGATTGTGGATACAGTGGATTCATACTTACTATATCAAGCAACATTTAATATGGCAAGTGAAAGCTAAACAAGCCTCATGGTTAGTGCAAAAAATTCTGGGAGCTGGTAAATACCTAACTGAGGTCAACATAGCAATTGAAGAAATGTTGAGCATGAAGGAATACTCCATCAGATTGATATATAACAAGTTGAGAGGTGATCTACCTAAAGTGGAGTGGAGGAGATTATTGTGTAATAACTGGAGCAGTCCTAAATGGAGATCCATTTTGTACTTGGCAATTCTGGAAAAGGTTGTATACGAGAGATAGATTACTAGGATGGGGCATAACAATAAGTTCAGCATGCTCATTATGTGAAAGGGTAGTAGAAAGCCATGAACACTTGTTTTTTCAATGCAACTACTCAGCAAGTATATGGAGTAAGTTGCTACAATGGATGGGGATACAAAGGAATGTACAAGGTTGGGATGCTGAAAAACAGTGGGCAATAAGGCATGCATCAGGAAAGAAGCAAATGTGTGCAACATACAGAATGTTACTCGCCTGTGCTGTTTATTATATTTGGCAGGAACGAAACTGGAGAACCTTCAGAGGAACACAAAGAAGCAGTGAGGAGATGATCAAACTGATAATTCAAGAAGTGCACTGTCGTGGAATGTTGAATTCTAAGATAGCGAGACATTTACAGAATTTCAATTTTTATCCATAGTTTGTAGTTGAGTAGCTATGTAGATATGAGGGCTCTAGATTTGGGGCTACATGTCCAAATCTATGTGAGTTTTGAGGGTTCTTGCTATACTTGTAAATATTTTCCCTGGTAATAAGAAATTTAATTACCAAAAAAAAATTGGGCAAAGTGAACAAACGACCATTTTTAGAGATGTTATTTTGGGATTCGCCAGTACTTATTTTGTCCGGAAATTTTGAACTAAAAATCTTATTTTTCTAGACAATTCAGGACATTTGTATCCGAAAAATTGAACTGAAAAATTAAAATTCAGGATGCATTTGCTAATTCCTTAATAGCAGCCATTTAAAGTGGCTACCTAATGTCATTTCTACATGAAAATTGGTGAAAATAACACGAGCTAGCCAGATTTCGGAACGGTAGTTGAAAAATAGCCAGCATTTTACGAAGTCATTGGAAAGTAGCCAATACGAAAAGTTCCACCATAATATGCTGGATTATGGAGCTCATGCGCATAAACTTCCAGCATATTATGTTGGAACTCCAGCACAGAGAAAGTTCCAGCATAATATGTTGGATTATGGAGCTCCAGCATATTATGTTGGAATCTCATATGTAAAAAAATTCGAACTCCAGCATATTATGCTAGAATAGTTTTGGAATTTTAAGAGTGTTTTTTCTTCAATTTTATCTTTATATGAAAAGTGACTATATTTCGATTACTTTTGAAACTGTAGTTATTTTTCAATTACTAGTTGTGAATCTGGCTATTTATGCTTTTTTCCCCTGAAAATTGGCTATTGGTCCAGTGGGCCTAAGGCAAATTTTGAGGGAGAAATTCAAAAATAGCCAGATTTACAAGTGGTCGTTCAAAAATAGCCCAATTTCAAAAGTAATCGAAATCTAGCCACTTTTCATGTAAAGATAAATTTGAGCGAAAACACTGTTCAAAACCCGGAAAATACGCCAGTATATTATGCTGGAGTTCCATCATAAGTATACTTGAACTCCAGCATATTATACTGGAGTTCCAGGATAAGTATGTTGGAACTCCAGCATAATATGATGGAGTTCTAGCATAAGTACACTAGAACTCCAGCATAATATACTGGAGTTCCAGCAAAGTACACCGGTCCAGTGTAATATGCTGGAAGTTCATACACAAGTGTTCGAATCTCCAGTATATTATGTTGGAACTTTCACTACAACAAATGTGAAATTTAGCTACGAAACTATTAGCTACAATACAAAATTCGTCACTAATAATTCATTTTTTGTGACAAAAATTATAATTCGTCTTTAAACACATGAACCGCATACTTTTAGTGACGAAACATAAAATTTCGTAGCAAAGTTTCGTCCACTATAGTTTCCCACCAAAAAAATGAGTTGGCGCCATTTATTGAGTAATATTAGCCACAAATTTAAAGTTATCGATGACGTATTATTTTGTCACTAATGATGTACTCAATTAGTGACGAACCATTATTTGTCTTAAAATTAGTTAAATTTTGGGCACAAAAAATTTTCGTCACAAAAAATATGTTGTTACTATAGCGACAAATTAGAATTTATAGTTAAACATTTTAAACTTTAGTGACAATTTTTATATTTAACTGTGACCTTAGTTTTTGTCATTAATAGTACAAACAATTAGTGACAATTACTTTATTGTCTCTATTGAACTTAAAATTCAATTACAATAAAATTTTGTCACAAAATATATAATTTTAAATAGCTACGACTTAACTTTGTAGTTGAATCGTCCGATAATTGGCTACAAAAAAGGTTTGTAGTTAAAAACCAAATACTCATACTTTGCATTTAATTATAAATCTGAAGTTTATTCATGCAAGATAGATATACTTATTAGTACTTTAAGACTAATTGTACTTTTGATTGAAACAACCATCTTATAAAAAATATCAAGTTCGAAAACATCAAACCCCGCTTTTATTTAGAAATTTTGGAAATGTTTTTTTCTACTTTGAGCACAACTCAAGTTCTTATTGGAACGCATCAAGTTTATTTATGTCACGACCCAAAATTCACAAAGGGTCGTGATGGCGCCAGACACCACAGTCAGGCAACCCAACCAAAATACTTAATTAAATTCTTGTTTTAATAATTTTGAAAGCTATGATTTTCCGTCAATTTTACCAGTAAAAGATAACCATTTCAAATTAAATATAATTTCTAAGAAGTTAATGCAAAATACTCCATATCATCCCAGAACAGGGTGTCACAAGTGCATGAGCAAATTTCTAGGAAATTAAAAATAAAATACAGTAACTGTCCGGAATACAAATTGGACAGAAATAAAAATACAGTACAATACTCTGAAGGAGACTCTGCTGGCTGCAGGTCGTCTCGATAAATGCAGCTCACCTAAGTCTCTGTATCAACCATGCCGCTGCGCCAAACTAGGCCACTAGACAC